TGTAAAGTTCATTAATGCTCATTGGTAAATTCACTTGATAAAGCATAACGTTCAACTGTTGACGACTAAACCCACTGAAAATGAAAAGGGTGGACAGGTTTGATTTAATGTTTGTGCTTAATGCTTTGAAATATTGAACAGCCATAAAGAATGAACACTGAATGTGTCGACATTGAGTTAATAACTGATTAAAATATGATTTCTCATTAGTTATTAGTTTTGATTTCACTGCATCATCTAGAAAAATGAGTGAATGCAAAAATTCTCTATCAAAATTTGAAATAGAAAGTGTTTCAAATAATTCATCCCGTTGTTTATCAATAATTTTATCCTCTAATCCTTGCTTCTTGATTGTATTATATAATTCTTTATACATTAAAAGTTTTTTAAATAATCTTCTGCTTCTTCTTGTGATAAATAAATAATTGGAATTTTGATTAAATGCTTTAAAGATTCAAATGTATCATCTGAAGGTGAACCTGAACGGTTGATATAAATTAACACATGTGAATGGGGGAATTGTTAGCAATAATGATAATTTGTTTTAATATCGTTAATGTTTTACCTTTATTCTGTTTACCAATTGCTGCAGTGATTGAATTTAAGTAACATTCAGAATATGGAATTTTCATTAATTTTTCCTTAGATAGAGCATTTCTATTATCACTCAATGCTTCATTAATCATATCATCTACGTATGTATTATATACATCTGTTAATTCTTCAGAATTGAAATCCATTTAATCAAAAATAAATTTATAATTTTAAACATTTCTATTCATCAATATTTCATCATATGAACTTCTATACTGTGGTGGTGTACCTGTTGGATGATATTTCAAACCTTCATCCGGTGTCCATGTCCAATATGTTGTCCTAGTAAACCAAACCTGAGGAGGATTTGTCACCTTTGAACAGTAAGTGTCATTTTCACCCTGAATGATTGGATAAGCTTTCACTTGTACTGTAACTTGTGAGTTGAAAGTTTCTAATCCATCAAAGAATATACCCGCTCCATCACGTTGAACTGGAATAGTGCATAAGAATGAAGTTTGGTCTTTCCATGTTCTAGCTAATGGCGTGCCATTATCATCATTCAGTGGTCTAGTTAATGAGTCCTCGTATTCTTCCGTGCATTCATTCACTCCATCTAAATCAGAAGCTTGAAGCATACGTGTAAAGAATATGTCACCCACTGTGGTCATCGCTTGATCGGGGAAGTTTCTGGAATCTATAGTGACCTGAAGACCTCGAAGCATTGGATTTTCTAAAACCGTTCTTTGCATTGCATTCTTCGGAAATGTTAACACAACATCTGTAACATTATGAAGAGCGTATGAGAAATCTGAGCTGATACCTTCAGGAGTGATGCATCCTCCATTTAGTGAACGAACGTCAATATGTTGAGCTGGAATCATGAATGGATCTTCCTTACTGAATAAACGTGGTATTGCTTTAACTGATTCTTCAATTAAACCGTATCCTGGTGTAATGCATTTATCCTCTAAAACTTCCATCTTTGTGCATGAAATAATAACGTCATCAACTGTTGCGTCAGCAGATGCAGCGGCTAAGCTTGTAATTAATTTGGCAGGAAGTCCGATTTGTTGGAATTTGCGATCATATTTATAAACATGATTCGTAATCTTTTCATAATTTTCATCAGTTATCTTTTCATAAACGTAATTTTGTAAATCAGCAACTCTTAACGGGTCAACCTGACAAAATACTAAAGTATCCCTGAAAACATAATATTTAAGAATGATTTCACCAAATGATTAGGATAATCATCGAACGCCTGAAATGCTAACAAATCATTTACCGGAATAATCATATCAAAAGTGACATCAACTTCTTCATTTGCTTTAGTGAAAACTTCTGAAGGGTCAATATATTTACCACATACTGAGTTATCATATTTTTGAACATTATTATATAACGAATGAACAAACTTTTTAACTTTCCTTTCTGATTTTGGTTTATATGTTGCAAATGCGAAAGATTCACGGGCACAATCCATCTGAAGATAACCGGCATCACCTCTTTCGGTTTCTACTTCTAATTGTTTAAAGCTTTGATTTGATGATTTGTAACCAACGAATAAACGCATGCATTTAAAAGCGGCATCACATGTGAAAGCTTTATTTGAAACTAGAGTTGCTTTAACTTTGCGTTTAATATATGTGTCACCTAATTGGTTCACATCATGAGCTGGATTTGTAATTCTTAAATGAGTTTGTTTATCATCAAAATATGGAGCATCAGAGTCATAGCATGAACTTTCAAGTTCTCTATAATATCTTCTACCATCATTCTTCGCGAATATTTCATTTATCTTTTCGAATGAATGAAACACATTTCCATTAATCGGTTTAGTGTTTGGCACCAAATAGTTAGTCGTCATTTATTATTAAATAAAAAATCAAAATTAAAAGATGAAAATGAATTTTTAATTTTAATGAAATAATCAACTATGGCAGCAGGATTCTTTAAAAAATTATGGGATAAAGTAAAAAGAGGAGCGCATAAAGTTTGGGAAACAATGAAGAAAGGAGCAAATTGGATATTTAAGAATAAAGAAGCAATTAGTGACGTTGCTGAATCAATAACACCAAAAGCTGCCCAATAAGAGAAATATTAAATAAAGGAGAAAAAGTTTATCAAAGACTTCAACCGATACTAAGATAAAAATAATATTTATTTATTTTTCCACTATCTACCCCCTATTTTATTAAGTATTCCTTCAGCTATTCCACCAATTGCGTTACCTGCTTGTGCTCCCATTGCCGGATTACCTGCTTTAGTACCTAATACTCCACCTATGATAGTTCCTGCCGTTTTCGCTACTGGTGCCAAAAAGTTTGCAATGGGTTTAATAATCTTTTGATGAACCCAACCCGCAGCTTTCTTAATTCCTTCCCATAATTTTTTAAAGAATCCTGCAGCCATAGTTGATTTAATATTAATTAAAAAATATATTTCATCTTTTATATTTTAATTTTTATTTAATGATAAATGAAACCAATTTTAAAAATAAATGAAACAGAGGAGGAAGAAATAAATGAAAGTGGAAATGTTCAACAAAAAATAAACGTTGTTAAACCAATTACTGAAACAAAAATTTTTTCATCTGTTGAAGAATTTAATGACTATTATGCTAATAATAAAAAATTATTTGAAGAATTGACAACATGTAAATTGAATAAAATGTTTAAAGTTGATGGATTCAAAATTTCAAAAATAAAAGGAGTGGTTAGTTTGAAATCTATTCCTCAATCAAGAATCACCTCATTAATGAAAATAGATGATTTAACAAAAAGAATAGAAATTATTGAAGAAAGAATGAATCAAATAATTGATTTCATAAATCATGACTCGTTGAGCCCGGGTCCTTAAAGCCCATCACTGAGTTCAAGGTTATATTCATCAAATATTTCATTATTAAATGCAACTTCTGCTAGTTTATTTATTTTTTCAATACGATCATTTGAAAGTCTATCGTTTAATTTTTTCTGAAGTTTTTCATTTTCTAGTTCTGAAACTTTATTTGGATGATATTTAAACCCGTTAAATTCTTTTTCCTCAGTTTTGATCATTAATTTACAAAGAACTTTTGTGGTTGGAATTCGTTTAAACCATTTATCATTAATATTTGTTATAAATTCAATATTCGGAATTAATTCCCAAATTTTTGCATTTTCAATTAATTTATTATCAAATGCAAAAGCAATAGGTTTAATATTAAACTTACCTTTATAATATAAACTTTCTACATAATCATCGAAATAAACATCTACTTGTTTAACATTTTCAAGAATTGGTGAAAGAGCATCCATTAATTGATTGACGGTTACGAATCTTGATCCACTCATTTATCATTAATTAAAAAATAAAAAAATAAATTTAACTTAGTTTTAATTTTACGTAAGAAGTCAATTTTTTAAATCTTGATTTATTCAAAAACGTAAGAATAAAAACCGTAAGAATCATACATTTTTTACTTCATATGTTAAAAAAAATGATACAAAATCGTTCAATATTGTATGAATTCTTACGTTTACAAAAAAAGTCACACAACCCGCATCATATACTACTTATTTATATCTCAGTTTTGATTTAGCATTTTCATATTCATTAGCGTTTAATAATTCACAGTCTTCCTTTTTAAATTGATGTTTAAGATATTCAGGATTTAATACTCTACGTTTATATGCTCCTAACTTAGTTCTAAAGGTTTTTCTACAAAATTTAGGAATTCCATCCTCTTTAATGTCATCAATGATTTCCATTTCATTATTTTCAATTTCTTCTTCTCGTTTATGAGGTCTTTGATTATGACTCCATTGATTCCATGAAATTAAATATTCTTTATCATTATATTTATACCTCATTAGCTTATTTTGGCTTTCATATTCATTTAATAATTCACAATCTTCATTTTTAAATTGAAGTTTAACCCATTCAGGATTTAAACAATGTTTAATTAATCGCGGAATATCTGACATCATCTATATATAGCTTCTTTTATGTAAGAATAAAAAAATAAATTATTTTAAAATTAATGTTAATTTTTTAATAATGTGTTTAGTATATAATATTTATTACTAATTTATTTAATAATGTCGCGCTTTCTTACGAATTCATGACTTAAAAAACGTAAGAAAAAATTTTTATATCATCTCTATATAGAAGATGTGAAAATATACCTTCATCTATATATAGACGTAACAAAAAAAGTCACTAAACCCTTCATATACTACTACTTTCGTTACGATTCAAAAATTTAATGTTATTTTTGTTGAAATATAATATACTTGATGAGTACTATTAAAATTCATGAACAATTAGTAGATTCGAGAAGAAATATTTGATAAAATTTTGAAAATTTGGTTATAATTATAAAAAAACTTTGTAATTTTAGAATAGACAATATAAATTGCAATATTTTATAAGTAAAAGATAAAGAATTTTTCCACATCTTAAAAAGATGCAGAAACAAATTAAGTATAGATAGGAGTATCAGTCAAAGCTGATTGTTCGTCAACCTTAAACTTGGGTGACCACTTAAATTCGCATTTTGCGAGAAGTAAAATCGTATAAACAATAACTACAAGGATTACGATTGAATCAATGACCCAGAGTATAATCTCTCGAGCAGGGACCTTCGCAGAAGTGAAAATTCTTGGATCTTCTGGTGAATGAACTTTGAAAAATTCCTGAATCACGTAAGCAAGTCTGTAGCCTGCTTTTACGATTTGTATCTCAGCCGCCATTGCTCCCTTAGAGATGTAGTTTGGCATCAAGTCGTATTTGTCGAGTTCTGAGTTATTTAAGTCTTTTAGCATTCCGTAAGCGTAATTGACAGCAACGTCGTATGTCTCATTGAACCAGAGATATGCATTTAATGATTTAACAGTAGGAAGTGAACTTTCTGGGTGCATTTGCATTATATGAGAAATATTGTGTTCAAATTCATCCAAAAGTTCATTAGTATCTAAGTACATATGCTGGAAATTAAGGACACCGGAATCCCACATTTTATGAAGTTGTTTGCATGGTTCACCGTATTTACAGTTAATTTTCAAACTGTTGCCTCCTCTGTCGCCTTCTTCGAACTTAGGACTATAGTAGGCAGCTGTGTGACAAGGTGTATGGATGTCTCCAATGAAATGAACGAGATTTCTAAAAAGAAAATGATATGCGTATAAACTTTTTGTTGTTGGGTTGAAAAGTGCGTTCATTGAGTCAGATACGACTGATGTAACATTGTATGTTGGTTGATATTCATACTCAAAGCCAGGAGCTAAAATTGGTTTGTCAGCGAAGTGCCAATTCTTCATTATACTGACCTGTGCACTGTTTTCAGGGATTTCATCATGCCATGTTGAAGCAGAGACCATAGTATCCGCTTCAGATGGCCACATACTGAATAAAACGTTCATCCAATCTTTTTGTTGTTTAGTAATCATTCTCTCTGCAATTCTCACCACAGCCATGTGGGGCTCATTCCACCATGCTGCTGCAAAAGAAGAATAAAAGAGAAACATCGTTTTTGAAAAGTGACAACAAGTAAAAGTGACGAAATTTAAGATTTCGAAAACTCTCAATAGAAAAAAAAATCAACTTCAATTACTTAGCAATTTGACTATGCTTTGGGAATATAAGCCATCATTCTGATATTGCAGGATAAATTATTAACTCAATAAAAATTATTAGTATTGATTGCATAAATATCTCTAATATTCATATCATAAAGTTAGTATGCTGAATATTTCTAAGACACATTAAAGTTTTGATCATGACATTATGTAAAAAAAGATATAAAATATTGATTTTGTAATTTTTTGGTTTAGTAAGAAGTTTTTAATATACAGAGACTTACAAGCAAAAATGGTATCTTTAAGGATTATATCCAATAAAGTAATGCAATGAAAATAACAGAAATTCTGGTTTTCTGTTATTTATTGAGAGTTTGAGAGGAAATTATCGCATATATCAAGGATCATATCAAGATTCTTTCCTGAAATCTGCTTGAAATCCAAATAATCTGGGAGTAATCTTGTAATTTCGACAATTTCTTGGAAATCTTGTGTTGGTTTGTACGGCTTGGTTTCTTCTGCAAGTTTTGTTTTGTATTGATCAATCATTTCTACAGAAGAACCTGATTCCATTGAATTTTTTCTTTTTTCTAAAAAGGTGACAAAAAAGTGCAAATAAATGTGAACAAAATTGTCACTTTTATTCGATGTTTCAACCTTTTAGTATAATATCTGATGCTGAGTTTAATTTATTCAAGCCCACTAAGGGCGAAACTACTAATATTGAAATCCCCAAGGACTATTTTAATTTTTTTCCTGTTCTAAAAAGATATAAATATGTAAAATCCCCAAACTCTCATTATGAAGTGTTTAGATCTTTGGTTTATCAAATTATATGCAATACAAACAAGAAAATTAACTCAGAGAATGAAAAATTCGCTATAGAAATCCTAGAATTTTTCACATCTTTTATGCCAAAATATCCAACAAGTTTATCCGATAAAATATCATCCTCAGTAGTCAAAAATCTAAACAAGATTTCTCCTACCTCTGTAATCAAACTATATCTTACAAATCCAATTTTAATCCCTCACGATACAGATATTTCTTATATAGAAACACTGCGTCAACTAGCAAGTATCAAAAATACAATAAGTGATGAAAATTTCAACAATTTACTCAGACAAATTTGTAATGAAATTCATCATAACACTTATATGTCATTTATCCCTGTAATCACTAATATTCTTACTTCTCCTTTACTTCTACACAGAGAAACTCCCATTTTAATCACTATAATTCAAAAATGCTTCAATTACGGCGCCAAAGAGATTTTATCACTAGATTTACCTTCAATTATCATGCCGATCAAAGATCTGACTCCATTATCATTAATTACTAACTCAGAAGTTCCTCCAAATGATATAATTTTTGCAACTCTCAGATTGTACGGATTTTCTTATCGTTTGATCAAGCATATGATTACGGATACTACTGATCCTGATGAGCAGGTAAATCTCTCATTATCTATCCAAAAATTGTTAATTTCCGGTTATGCGGCGATTGAATCCGTAATTTTCGCCATTTTAGCTTTAGATACATCATTCTTTGACTTCCTGTTCCAATGCGAGCAATCCTGCCAGTACAGCCTCATCACAGCTGTAATTTGTATTTCATCATGCGTAGAATTGCCTTCTTTAAAGGTTTTTCTCACGAAATACAAAGACTTCATACTGGAGATCTGCGCAATTGGTGAAACAGCCTTTCCTGATGACGGTGGAAGGAAATCTTTCATAAATCTCCGGAAATCCATTGAATTTTCTTCACTTTCACCTCAATCTTTGTTCTTTGGTCACTGGTTCGGCCACTCCGATACACCCGTTTTGCCTTTGATCGCAATAATGAGCGAAAAAGACGAATTATTCGCTCCTTTAGTGATGGTTGCGACTGATGAGCTAAAGAACCTCAACGACATCTGTTTCTCAGCCGATATTTGCAGGAGATTGATGCTAACTGGACCTTCTCCGCCTGCACAATTAGCAATTGAAGCAATTGCAGCCATTTACGATCCAACAGTCATTCTAATGAATCTAGTATTGAAGATAATACCATTTACATTGTTTGTACCTGCAATGGAGCTGATTTACCGGTCAGGAAAATTATTAAATTTATCTCAGCAGTCAATCATCGAAGCATACTTCTATATCACAAGGAAATGCACTACCGGTGAATCTCCTCGCTCCCTTTATCACCTAGAATACTTAGGAAAGCATATTGATAAAATACCAAAGGTTTCTTTCTTCAATTTGTTCAATGAGTTGATGATTTTGAATCAGGATCCAAGAGCATCTGCGAGATTCATACTAATGATCACTTCAAACCCTTCATTTTTCAACATTATTAAAGAAAACACAGATTGTATGATGAATTTGTACCAAAAGATGAGACACTTGATGCAGGACATGACAAAGATCGATCTCCTTGCAACAACATCTATAAGTTTTAGAAATTTGTTCAAAAATCTCGCTGATATGAAATTATTTAATAATCCGCAAGTAAATCAGTTCTTCTTGATAGGTGTTAATGGTTTATCAACATTCGCAAACAAAGGAATACTCCAGAACTTAGTTACGGCGATTTTTTGCGATCTTTCTGGAAATCCAATTTTGAGTCCGAAATTGGCCAGCCAAATAAGGACCAGACTAAAGAACAAGTCACAGTTCATTGAATATTTGCTGAAATATGACACAGCACTTGCAAAGAAAGAATTTTCTGATTACACACAGCAAACATCAGTAAACGTTCCTAAATTCAGTGCGAAACTTTGGGGAGCGCAAGGTTGGGTACTTTATTGCTCATCAAAACTCTATTTTAAGAACTAATTTTTATATTATTGTTTTATAATAAAAATTTGTTATATTTTTGACTTTTACATTGGATTTTCCTTTGCTACAGAGTTATCTAATGCTACTATTAATAGTTTTCATGGTGGATTAACGAAAATGTGTAATAATTTCCTTGAAAACATTTTATTTTTCAGTTTGATTGGTGTTTTATGTATAACCTCCCTAAGAATGTATATTGTACACAAGTAGATGAAAAGGAATATTTATGGGTGCCAACAGAAAATGGAAAATTTTGTATTTTCAATGGAAGTGTAAGAGTGATTAGAAAGAGGAGGCATACAAAAGGGAAATATTACCGAGATGTACGTTCATCCGAAATTTTTAACCTAAGAAAATGAAACATTCCTTAAAAATTGAAATTATGAATAGATAATAGAACACGATAAAACTCTGATAAAATTCACTGTTCGATGACAGAAAAAATATGAGTGAAATTTTTTTGTAAATTGATAACTCGGGCAGTTTCAGAAAATAACTGTTGGTAATTCATCTCATAAATGTATATAGTAGCCAATTATAGTAAATATTATTTTGAATATTGTTAAAATTTGAATAGTCAACGATGGAATTAAATTATATTCAAAAAGTGCTTTTAATATTGGATTATTATATAAATAATTTTATATGTAGAATTATCAAGAAATATATGAAGAAAAATCTAACGGTTTTTTTATCACTCAGGATATAAAATGAATTATAGTTATACTGTTGAAATTGAAATAAGATTTTAGTTGTCACAAATTTGCTCTGATTTTTAGCATATTGAAATCTTCTTCTATATTAATCAAATAGTGGACAACTAACGATTCTGCTAACGATGACAAGTTAATCAATTCTGAGTTATGAATTGAAATATTTGAAAATGTTATTTTTTCAAAGTAGATATTTTTTGAAGTGATCATTATATTTCTCTTTATTTAACTATGTATTACCAAAACATGGTAACAGTAAAGAAAAACTATATTTCAATATCATAATCAATTGTTTTTTAAATTGCAATTGGCGATAGGTATTACCTGATACTTGAAGATTTTATGCCACTGGCGGTTGGTTCACAATCTTAACGGTTCAGATTATGATATTCAATAATTCATCAAATAATCAATTATCTTTTTTACTAGATTTTATAAAATTCGCGCTGCAATATGCATTCCGTTAGTTTATTGTTTTCTCTCATAAACATAAACCACTCATCAAAAACTTATAATCTTTGATATATACCTCAAAACAGTATTTTTAATTTATTCCAATTTGAAAAATGTATTAAAAGCTCTCAGAAAAATTGAAACTCGTTGTCAAAATCTTCATTATTTTTATCTCTTAAATTCATGGATAGATCTGAAATTGAATTCCTTGACTCCTGTGGGATCAGACCTTTAGAGAAGATAGCTCATGGATCATTCGGCGAAGTTTGGAAAGTCTATAGCTTTCAATATAACTCATACTTCGCCTTAAAAAAGATTTTATTATCGAAGTTCGACGAAAAGGAAATAGAATGCATGAAATTGATTGATCATTCCTATATTGTCAATCTTTACAATTACTACAAGTTCAATGACTATGTATACATGCTATTAGAATATTGCAATTATGACCTCAAAAAATATATTGCATCGAATGAAACTTTATGTTTCACGGATAAACGTAGAATAATTTCGGGATGTGTCACGGCTGTGAAAGCCTGCCACGACCATTTTATCTCCCATTCTGATATCAAGCCGTCAAACTTTTTGTTTGACAAATACAACCGAATCAAATTAGGTGATTTTGGTCTTTCATCATCATACAAAGAAGAAGAACTCTGTGACAGCTTTAGAGGAACGAAAGTTTTCATGGCCCCAGAAATAATAAAGAAAATTGACTTTGATCCATTCAAATCTGATATTTGGGCCTTGGGTGTAACAATATATTACATTGCTACAGGACTTTACCCTTTCATTGCAAACGATTCCAGACAATTATATGATAGAATTACTTCTGGTGTATTTTCAGTAGATCATATTCATGATACAAACCTTATTAAAGTTATCCGAAGATGTCTGGATTTGAATCCACAAAATCGTCCAACTTGCGAAGAACTCCTTAAAATGCCATTCTTTTTAAGAGGAATTCCAACTGGAAAGTCAACATTGATCAAGCAAAGTTTCTCTGCAACAAGAAATCTTGTTCTTAATGAAAAAATTTGCAAACCAAGAGTCCATAGGAATTCTTTTCACTTAGGCAATGGTCAATTGTCAACTGGAAGCAACAGCTTCCTTAATAGCTCCTCAAACTCAAGTAGAGTCCAAGAATGATGCAATTTTTATAATTCGGAATTGATATTTTTTTTCGGAATTTTGTTTGTTATGTATATTTGAATATAAATATGTATAGTTAGTATAAAGTTTGCTTTTTGTTTATCAATATGGCTCAAATATAAAAATTGACAAAAATATATAAAGAAACTTCTAATATATAGCAATGGAATAACTTACCTAGGAGATAGACATAATAATTAAAGTATACTTTTTGTAATATAGAACGTATGTCTGAATGTGATATTAAATTATCTTTGATTGGTGAAGTTTTCGAATAAGTATAGAATGTCTTAGATATAATCTTCAATATATTAAGTATACTATCAGCTTTTATAGTATCAAGTGAAATTTCTAATAGAAATTGCGTATAATAAGGTATCGTGAGTAAGGAATAATCTTAGAATTTTAATTACAACTATATAAGAGCTCCATATCCGATTATGGAGGTATTTCGGTAGATTGAGCAAATCGAAACTTTGAAACAATCATGAAATATCCTTTTTACTTATTAAATATTTATTTCTAACGATGAAGCAATATGCCGAATTGTATAATGCCTTAAATTGAGATTGATGGGAAATTTCGAAAAAATAAAAATGTCTCGATAAATTCAAAAAACTTTTATAACTAAAAAAAAAAAGAAAAAAAAAAGGGAGTGGGGCTTCCAGGCACTTCGTGCCTTCTAGCCCTGAGGATGATTGATATAATGAAGTTTTTTTTTTTTTTTGGGGTGGTCTTCCAGGGGCTGCGCCCCTTCTAGCCCACATAAATGAAGTTCTTATATTCGGAGGGCTTCCAGGAGCTTTTCACAAATTATATATGTTTTCATGTTTTGTCACTTTTCTGTCACTTTTCAGGGTAAAAACATTTTTATTGTATATAAATGAATTTTACAAAACCACCGTTACCGTTCTTTGGAATAAGAGTAAATGTAAAGATTATTATATTGAGAGAACTTAAGAAACTACCGAATGGTCTAACATTTGTAGATTTGTTCGGTGGAAAGTTTCTATATATTCCCATTTGTGCCATACAATATTCCAGACTCAAAGGATTATATGCAATGACTTCGACAACTATATGAACCGTCTCAAACATACCAGATACAAACAATATATTGAAAGAGTTAAAAGAAAAGATACCTATAGGTAAGATGGACGTATACCATTAGATAACAAAAATATTGTGAGAGAGGTTTTGAAAAAAGCAGAATATATTGACTGGGATAGTATATCTGCTAGACTATTATATAGTGGTTCTATAAGAGTTCATGACATTGAACACTTATGTCAAAAGTTTTATATCTTAACTATACATGTGTTTCAAAGAGGACATAGAAAAATATTTGAGGGTATAGAGTTTGTGAGATGTCATTGGACAGATTTGTATGAAAAATATAAAGACAAGGAAAATGTTTTCTTTATAGTGGACCCACCGTTCTATAACACATGGGATTTTCAATACCAAGTAGACTGGACTTTGAGAGACTCTTTAGAAACTTTAGACGTTTTACATAACCATCCATGCTTTTACTTTACATCCGATAAAAGTGGTTTGGAAACCGTTATGAGATGGTTAGAGGACATACATGACTATGAGTTTAGATATGACAAGATAGAATATGAGAGAGGTCCTATAAACCGGAGAAAGTGTCATAACAAAGAAATTTTATTGGTAAGTAAATGTGGTTTGAAATCGGACTACTTGTTTTAGGGTAGAAGGTTAGATCTAACCTCTTTTCTAACCTCATTTCTACCCTCTTGAATTTTCATGAATTTTACACCAAAAATAATGTTTAGGTGAAGAGGTGAGATCTCACCTGTTTTTTCACCTCATTTCTACCCTCTTGAATTTTCATGAAATTTACACCAAAAATATATTTTAGGGTAGAAGGTTAGATCTAACCTCTTTTCTACCCTCTTTTCTACCCTCTTGAATTTTCATGAATTTTACACCAAAAATATATTTTAGGGTAGAAGGGTAGATCTAACCTCTTTTCTAACCTCATTTCTCACCCTCTTGAATTTTCATGAAATTTACACAGAATTCAATAAAAATATATTTTAGGGTAGAAGGGTAGATCTCACCTCTTCACCTAAAATATATTTTTGGGTCATTTACGAAGAAATCTCAACAAAGTCTTTACGAAGAAGTCTCAACAAAGTCTTTACGAAGAAGTCTCAACAAAACATAGACAAGAAAGTTCATGAGAAATTAGATGAAGAAGTCTTAACAAAGTCTTTACGAAGAAATTCATGAAAATTCAAGAGGTTAGAAATGAGGTTAGAAAAGAGGTTAGATCTAACCTTCTACCCTAAAATATATTTTTGGGTCATTTTACACTCATTTTACGAAGAAATCTCAACAAAGTCTTTACGAAGAAGTCACATAAAGAAATTTTATTGGTAAGTAAATGTGGTTTGAAATAGGACTACTTGTTTTAGGTTTTTTTCCATTGTGTCATTTACTTATTTGACGTGGCAGAAAAGTACAAGAATATGAAGATGACCAATGCCTGCAAATGTTCAGTATATGTACTCGTAAGAGATATTTTTATCTAATATTAAATGGACGCACAGAACTTAGCGAATGCCAGCAACCTGGACAACCAAACCCAGAGAATATTCCAAATGAAGTTAGAATACAAACTGCAATGGCAAACTATGGTCAAGTGCCAACAGATGTACAAATGCAAACTGCCATGTCAAATGACGCTGCGTTAGGTTTGCCACCATGTATGCACATATGAGATGGAAGAGAGTTTTATACAAACCCTGAGTGGGATATAAACACTTTATGCAGATGACGCGAACACAGGAGTTGACCCAGAATAGTGTTTTCTACCAGAGGAGAAACAGAATGTATGAGCTCCAGTTAAAGAATGCTATGGAACTCAACAGGAAACGTAAGAGACTAGGCGGACATTAGATTTTTACATATAGTAAAATGGGTTTCTTCAGTAAGATAGGAAACTTCTTTCGAAATGTTGGAAGAGGTATATGGAATGGAATAAAATCTGTCGGAAGAGGAGTATGGAACGGTGTCAAAATATTGGTAAAAGAGTAGGTCAGTTCGTTGGTATTATACCTAAAGACCCTGAACCAGAAACAAGCTCCTGTTATACAACAGCCTGAACCTGCACCACAGTCTAGTTGGCAACCAAATCCAACACCTCACCGTATTAAAAATTATTTTTACCGTTCGATAGTAGTTGTATATGAAACTAAGTCTAAGTAAAACGCATGGTATAATGGAATTATTCTTTTTCTTCCATCTGTAGTAAACCATACTTGAAAGTCTGAAATACTTCCACTTGGTGGTTCATATAGCTTTGTAGGTTTTTCGTAAAAGTCATTTGCCAAGCATAAGAAAGAGTTTTGGGCGCCAGAAAATGAAGCATGAACAATAATAGCAGCTGGGTCGAAAACATCTTTAAATAAATATGGTTCATCTCTTGCATATCGACTGTAAATATTTGCTAAAGGAAGTTCGACTTTCTGATTTAACATTCTTTGCAAATAATACCATGACATTGCAGTGAATTCTGTATATATTTGTTCGTCTTTCTTTGGATTGTCTTCGTAGATTTGAAATGACACTTGTGAATTTTTGTTTGTCATATACAATTCTCACATAAAGTGTGCTCTCGGTATTTGCATATTCATCAGCATATTTTGCATAACATGAATTTATTTTATCTTCTATATTTTTTAACGCAGTCCTGTAGAGAAGATGAAAGGTCAACTTGTATTAGCTCAATTTCTTCCCACATTTTTTCGTTTCCCTTCAGATATATAATCTATATGAAACCTTACAATAAATGGAAAACTTTTATCTTCTACAGACACAAACTTCCATTCTACGAAAGCCAATAGCTTTTGTGACAGATGGGTCTCTTAACCATCTTAATGGGTAGTCAAAACGATAGCCTTCATGCTTTACGGTCTCTGTCTCAAACTTTTGACCGACATTAGTAAAAAGTTCATCTAATGGTTTAGTTGTAGCAACTCTTGAATTTTCTTTTTCTATTGGAAGCATATTTTATCTAGAATAAAAATGTCGAAAGATATTGCTTCCATGAGAGAATACAACACAACCGACAACTCATTATGCAAGCTCTAAATAAGAACACAACAAACTTTCAAACTATTCTAAGATATCTGAGTCATTGAAAGAAGGAAGCTTAAAACTGACATTAAACCCAATGACAGATGAGTTTCTGTTTCAAGACAACAAGAACCATACTGTTTATAAATCCAACAAAACGAACTTTAAACGAGAAACCTATAGATGAACTTCTTTTGAAAGCAGATGTTGGCAACAAAGCTGACAAAGAATATGTAGACGATGCAATAGCAAAAGAAGAAGAAAGAGCTAACAATGCTTATGCAACAAAGAACATACTCATCCTGAACTAGCAGACAAAACATATGTTGACAATAAAATGTCAAGTGAAGTGACAAGAGCTGAAAACGAATATTCTAAAAAGACTCATACACCATTCTATATCTGAAATAACAGACTTACAAGAAACCTTAAACAGTAAAAGTGCCGTTGGACATACACATACCTTATTGCAAATTATTACAAACTTACAAGAAACCTTAAACAGTAAAAGTGACGTTGGACCATACACATACCATTGCAAATATTACAAACTTACAAGAAACCTTAAACAGGAAAAGTGACGTTGGACATACACATACATCTTCTGAAATAACAGACTTAAACGTTAGCCTTGAAAAGAAAGCAGATAAAACATATGTCAATGAAATATACCAAAGTTTAGTTGGAACAAAAAATATTGAAACTATTGTTGGTGACTTTTCTGTCAATGAAGAAAACAAATATTTTAGATGGCAGTTGGTACAGTCCTTAGAAAATGGTACACGGTATAAACTCATTCCGAAAAATAACAATGAAATGTATGTAAGCTATAAAAAGAACGATGGTACACAAGTTAAAGTTCCATTAGACAACAACTGCTACTTAAACTTATATGGAGACGAACAAAAGAAATATTTAAGAGTTTATGAAATGGCAGATATGACATTGCCTGACCCAGCTCCAGCACCATATTATTATGACTATGGAGATGACAACAGAACACCACATGTAGATGAACAAAAGCTAACATTATATTTAGATTTTTATAGATATAAAAGATATAATGCAATAGAAAAACGAGAATAGTATACTATTATGAAGATGACAGAAATAAATCTTATAGTCAAGATTTTACCTACCCTGAAAACATAAGATTATATTATAAAAAATATTCTGACACAAACCAGAAGAAACCTGAAATAGTTGCACTATATTTTAAGTTCAAAAGAGACAATCCTATAATGTCTCATATGTTTGATTTAATGAACCCAGTAGGTTCTATTTATACATCTATGGAAGCAAGAGGTCCTCAAGTAATGTTTTGGTGTTGGTGCATGGGAACAAATAGTCGACAGGTTTTTTGTATTGTGCAAACTCTTCAAAGGAAACAGGTGGAAGTAAAACGATTTCAGGTGAAAATTTACCTGCACACAGTCACTACATAGATTTAAGTACATCTCAAGCAGGTTGGCATAAGCATAGATATTGGGATTGGTCAGGAATGACAAAAGGTAAAGGATATGATGTTAAAGACGACGTTAAGTTTGCTATAAATTGTTACTGGATGACACGCAGGGAGAAGGAAACCATACACATTTCGTTTCAGGATATACGCAAAACAACGGGACAAAGTAAAGAATATATGCCACCTTACATGACAGTTTACGCATGGTATAGAATTGCTTAGTCGTCATTTTCAACTTCTTTAGCATATTCGTCAGGAGTTGTCTTATATTTGTTAGGAACTGTCTTTGAAAGTATACCACCTTGAACTTTGACAAGTTTGAAACGAGGTCTGACAATAGTAGTTTTATCTTCTGCTTGCAGTGTGTACATTTTGCCATGTTTGCCTAAAACTTCATAATATTCTCTTGTATACTTTCTTCTATTTTTACGAACACGAATGTGAGTACCTGTCGGTTCCATTGTTGTCATAGTCAATAGTATTTTCATATGGGTCGCGTTAGGTATTTCTATTTTTACTTTGTCACCTTTCTGAAGTTTGAAGCCCGGCATTCTTTCTTGTTTGTCTCTTTTGACTAAATTATTAAATATATAGTCTTTCTCTAAGTCAGGGTTGTTTTTTCATTTCTTCGGGGGAGTGGTTTCCCAACCTTTTTGTTTTACGGCTATTGTAAATATTTAAAACTTGTCTCATCTTTGCCATGGAGAAGTGTCTATACTTGTCGTCATATGACATTTCATTTGCTTCACCACCTTGTGGTTGGTTTAAGTCTCTTAACATTTTTATACAACCGTCAATGACACCAAGAGCAGAATGGTTTTTGGTCGACAATGAAATATTGGTTTACATTTTTTGAACGCAGATAGTTTTTAATATCGTCTGATTTGAAAGAACTTTCACAGTCAGATGTCAGTTTTGTTGGATGGTATTTGTCAACGAATATTGTCAAAGCAGTTTTCACATCTAAAATATTTTTGGACGTATAATGGTATGGCTTCACAGTATCTTGTGTTTTTGACCGACAAATATTAGCCAATGGTGGTCCATCTTCTCTATACTCGGAATGTTTTCCAAGATATCCATAAACCAAGCATTTGGTGTTGAACTAAAGATTTTTATCATGAGTGCTTTTTTTGTTGCCTTAGAAACATAGGGGTCCTTGTTCGGATTCGTCATTTTTTACCCTATAAGAAAGGGTTTATTTGGCGCATTAGCAGGAGTTGCATCCAGATTTTTGCCCGCAGTGGGAACAATAGCCAGAGGTGTATTTGGAGTTGGAAGGAAGATTTTGAGTACATTAGGTATACTTAAAGAGAAAGCACAACCTATTATACAAACTGTACAGAAAGGTTGGGATGTAGCACGAGATGCAGCAAATCTTATTCCAAATCCTGAAACAAGAGGAAAAAGTTCAAGGATGGATGGACAATGTAGGAAGACAAGCAGGAAACTACTATATACAAAGCAAATGACTACTATAACCAAGCAGGGCACTATATGGACCAAGGTGAAAGATTCTTTAACAGAGGATATAACCATGCACAACAGTGGGTAAACAACAACCAACCTCAACCGCCTCAAACGTGGGGAATGTAAAGTTTTTTACTGAGATGAAATGAACAATACAGCATTGAGACAAATGGGTTCAAGATGGATTTGTCGGCTTCCAGCAGTTACACAACGTGTTTGTCAAGTTCTTCCTATACCTCAGGAAGTTTTAGACCGACTTAAAAAACCTAAACAACCAGTTGAAAACTAAAATTTTTTACTGAGATGAAAATGACCGAAGAAGTTGAAACGGTAGATTTGACACCACAAACAAAAAGTTCAGAACCATTGTCAAAACCTGTCAAAGAACTTACAGATGAAGAGAAAAATTCAATAATAGAAAGTGCCAGGTCTGGAAATACAAACCCTAACTACAAAGTCACTTTTCATAGAAATGGAACGGCTAGTATCTCAAAAAAAAACAACTCTCACAAATAAAATATTGAAGTCTGAAGGAGTTTTATGAGACAACAGATGGAAAAGTTTTACTGACGTTCATTATAGAACATCTCATTGACTTAGAGTCAAATATTCTAAACTTTACAACAAACACAAAAAGTTGAAAGGAAAACAAAAACAAATGGCATATGATATTTTATGAGAGTTGACGACACAACCATACCTGCAAGTGAGGTAAAGCCAGAAGAACCGAAAAGTGACGAAAAACCAATAGAAGAAGAAAAACCAAAAACTGAAGATAAACCAAAACCAAAGTTTAGTTTGGAAACTAAACCAAGCCAACCTTCATTAGCTGGTATGGGTTGGCGTCAAAGGCTTATGGCAGCGGGAGGTTATGTAAAGTAAAGAAAAAATATATTTTTTTATTTTTATAAAAATGCCTCCGTATAGAATGGATAGAAAATCTGCTAGAATAAAAGCAGAGTTGCAAAGATATGGTTGGAGAGTTTCGAAGAAGTTTAAATATAGGAAGGGAAGACCCATAAAAGTCTATGACAAATTGTCTGGTCTTCGCTACGAAATGGACTTAGAAACAGCGCGCGCCAATTATCCAAACAGACTAGAGAGGTTAGAAGAAGAACGTCTTATGGACATGCCTTTCGATGTTAGTGAACCTCAAGTTGAAGGACACGACGGCTTTGCCAGATTCTACTGGAAACATGACGAACAATTGCATCCTTTGAGAAGGAAAAAAGGAAAAGGTGAAGACACACATGCTCCCATGGAAAGAACAAGATATGCATATGAAAAGTATCGTGAAGTTAGAAGTCAAATTACATCTGGTCGAACCTTTACAGTAAACTTTGACGAAGGAAAGAACAAAGAAGGCTTCATGGGTGTACTTGCTGCTATACAAGACGGAAATAAGAAAGGATACAATCTCAGACTAACTATAACAGATTTGGACGGTCATATATACTATGCGCATGGCAATGTCACAACAGCCGCACAACTTCTTGACGCTTTCAAGACTACAAAGAGAGAACAAATGTTTGACTCCGACTCAGATATTTTGAATGCAATTGAAGGAATTGCAAGCGTGAAGTTCGAATGGTATCAACCCAACCCTCAAGCAGTCAGACAACATGCTGGATACTTCCCGTTCAGAAATAAGTCTGACATTGACTTGACAAGGTATGGAATTTACAATTCAATTGAAACAATTGTCAATGAACCTTGTATTCTTACATGTCTCAGGAACTCTGGTCTTGTTACAGAAGAGAAGATGAAGTATCTTGAGTCATGTGTGAAAACAAGGTACATTCTCAGAGGGCAATTGTCAAAAATTGCACCGTTGGCAAATGTCAATATCCGCGTTAACATACCTACAGCTAAAGGTTCTTCACATGACGACTATGTTGTTGACAAAGACTTACCATGGTTGAAGATTGTAATTGTCCACAACCACTTCATGTTGAACGAAAGTCTTACAAACCCATTGTTCGGAAAAGGCAAGTGCAACATTGTCAGAGCTGTTAACATTCTTTTCGAGAAAGGTTTGTTGGAACCAATTCCAGATGACAAGCTGACAGAAACTTTTGTACCAAAAGACGAAACAAACTTTTCACTGTTAGCAAGACCAAAAGTTGTTCCAGACAAAGTTATAGCACAAAAGAAGTACACAGTTCCAAAAGGAGTTGGATTGTTCGGATACCAACCTGAACCAGAAGAACTTCCAATGAGGTTGCAAGAACTTCAAGATGCTATAAACAAACTTCCATTGAGACATCCAATTGACGTCAAATTGTATTGGAGAGCTTCTGAGTTAGGTCAGAAGGTTTTATATGAAACAGGTTGCTTCGACGATGTTTATGAGATAACAGGAGAAGTTTCTCAGAAGATAAGAGACTCACTTGAATTTCCACGAACTGGTCCGATTGGTTGTGACAAGTTCGACTCATACGAAAAAATATACTATGTCGACCTTAACGCTGCGTACATGAGGTTCGTCCAATATATTCCGACTGGAATTCCAAACGAAGATGGTGAGTTCCCGGGAAGGAACTATACAGTTGGAAAAGTCATACAACAACTGTATGATATTAGGAAAGCTTCAAACCCCAAACTTGCAATGACACTCAAATTGCTTATGAATTCGACATGGGGATATTCCATTAAGAAACCTCAAAAGATGAAGAGTAAACACTATGAGAAGGTCGACAACTTTGTTGAAAGGTTCTCCCCCTTTGTTTTGAAGTACGAATTCACTCAAGGTCAAAGTGGCTTAGTAACCACATTAAAACCTATTGTCGAACATTGGTCTTACCCTCAGTTCGCAAAGGCAGTCCTTGACAACTACAACAAATTCTTCTCCGAGGTTAAATCCAAAGTGAAGGTTTACTATGAGAACATTGACGCACTCATGACGAACGAAGAAGGATACAACAAACTCATTGAAATGGGTTTAGTCGGTGAGAAGATGGGCTGTTTTAAGCTAGATAAGGTATTTTCCGAAGTTCATGTCCTCTCCAAACGTAAGTACTGGGGTATACTTGAAGACGGCACAGAAATAAAACATTGCATGAAATAAAAAATTTTTATTCGAATTTGAATTAAAATGTGGGAATTCTTGGGAACGGGAAAGGCTTATTTACTTGAGGAACAGGTAAAGGTGGTGGAGGTGGAGGTGGTGGCAACCAGTCCATTTTATATTCCTTCCTAGCTAATTTCCGTTTAATTTCATGGTCGCCCTCGGAGTCTTTGAATCGGACAGGTCGAGTTACACCATTCTTGGTCTCAAACTCATATATAACCTGTTTGTCTGTATTTTCGTCGACTATGGCACGAGACACAAACATTGACCAAACGGACAAAAAGTGTCATTTCGGATGGTCACGCAGCCAATCGCATTCGAGCACTTCGAAGAAGCCTTACGTTCCAAGGAAGAGGGTGTCTGGTGCAAGGGAGAGGTCATGAGACTCTACGAGCAGTACATCCTCAATGCCTGGGAGGACAAATCGTCCTTGGATTGGCAAATCTACCAACTCCTCTGGGACGACCTCCTACGCAACTGGGATGACGAAAGAGTCCAATTCAAAGGTCGGGAACTAATTTTGCAAATTGACCTTAATTTCACATACTTATCCAAATAAACACCTAAATTTACTTGGGGTTTCCCCCTAAAAATAAAATTTTTTTACTCTTAGAACCACTCGAGGTTCTCCTTACGATTGTTGAGCTTGTCACCGTCAATGTGTCTGACCTTCGTCTTCTTGTTTGGATTTGGAACCCATTGAATTGCGAAAGCTTGCCCATGGAGATTGAACCGCGATTCCGAAGGTAAGGTTCAAGTGTCCCAAGTTGTTGAGGACTGGGGTAAGAACCTTGCCGGTCTCCTTGTTGCGGATTTTGTATGGGTAGGGTTGGGAAATTTCATAACTGTCATCGGCAACAAGGGTTGCCCAAACTTCCTTTTCTTCGTGTTTTCTTCTTCTTCCTCTTCTTCTTCGTGTTCCTCTTCTTCCTCGAAAATTCCTTCTTCAATTTGGTGCTCACGAATTACGGTGTTGGAGGTTCTGTCCTTTCCGAGTACCTTCCAGATGGCATCTATCTCTTCGAAGAAACGGTAGATGAGTCTGGCAAGGTCTCGGTTCTCTCTCGCGTAAATGCGCAAGGTTTCCGTCAAATCATTCAGGACTTTCTCATTGGAAGCTTGGTTCATGAGGAACTCACCTTTAAGTCCCTTCATCTCTTCCATAAGACTACTTTGGAGAGTCTTAACGGTGTTTGTCAGATGAGCTTTCAAATTCAAAATTTGAATTTGAACTGGGCGCTTGTCTGGCAACATTGAAAGGACATCTGCCATTGTGTTCGGCTTCGGTGCTTGTTCGGACATCGAAAAAATGAAGTGGTTTGAGAATGGCGGTTTTACTTCAAAAAGCTTGTTATGACGGTTAAGTCATACAACAAGTTTAAAATAATATCTTGTTCTTCTTCTGAACGTTTGTTGTCTCTTCCGATAAAAGTTTGGAACATGAGAACCAAAAAACGTTTTTTGAGATTGCGGAAGAGTTCAGGCAAACGTTCATATTCTGGATATGTTGGGAGCAGTTCAAAACATCTGAGCTGACTTTCGGACAAAATTGGGACAATGTCAGAAAATTCATCTTTGGTCGGACTGCTTGAAGGTAAGTCTCTTACATGTAAGTAGCTCTGGTAAAGTCTTCTCATTTCTGCTAACTTTTGGAGTATAGCTTCGTAGTTTAGAAGTTTTAATTTTAATTGTCTTATTCCACTCTTTACTTCTAAACGGTAAGTATCCATGAGGTCAAGAGTAGCTTTGGTAGCTTTAAGTGGAGCTATCTGTTCCTTGACTTCTGCAATTTTGGTTGCAATTGTGATTTGAGCTCCTTCAAGTTCGCCGTCTATGTCGTTCTCAACACCTTCAACTATAGCTTGAAACTCTTCATCGGTCCATTGAGATTGGTGTGGGACGAATTTAACTTGCTTCATTCAAAAAATGAAAAAAATGTTTTTACTCTAAACGTTAAGGTTTGAACTGAACTGGTTGGATGTCGCCTTCACAGGTTATGAAGAACGGCTGACCCGAGAAGTGAAGGAGAGACTGAATTGCCAATTTCATATGGGGTAGGGGGTTCTCCTTGTTTGGTATTTTTATCCATGGGCGCTTTGCAAAGAACTTAACAAGAGCTTCTCTTTTGGCGTCCTTTATGCCATCGTAGGCTGTCCCATCTGGTATTTGAATTGGAATTCCAGTCGAAGTCTCGAGCTGAAGTGTAGCCCTTCCAGAAATAGTGGTGTACTTGACCTTGGGCTTCATGACCTTGCGCAAGTAGTCTTTTACGCAGTTGTTAATTTCAATTAGGTAAATTGCCTCGTCAAATCCTTCTTGCATTCCAAGTTCTTCCATCCGACAGGAAAATATTTTCCGGACAAAGGGAAAAATTTTCCCCGACGACAGGAAGAACTCTTCCAGTTGTCCGGAAAATATTTTCCAGTTGTCCGTCCGTAAACCATTCAAATTTTCGAAAATTGAGAACTTTTTCGTCGAACTTCAGAAAAAGTTTTTCCTTCCGACAGAAAAAGTTCTTCCTTCCGACAGAAAAAGTTCTTCCTTCCGACAGGACACAAACGAATGTCCGACAGAAAAAGTTCTTCCTTCCGACAGAAAAAGTTCTTCCTTCCGACAGGACACAAACGAATGTCCGACAGAAAAAGTTCTTCCTTCCGACAGAAAAAGTTCTTCCTTCCGACAGGACACAAACGAATGTCCGACGTCCCACCAACCGAGCCGATTCCCAAACCAGAAGAACCGACAGCCCCAGCGCCACAACAGTCTCCTCAGCAAGTCCCTCCACCAAATTACTACCAATTTCCACCTCAAGGTTACTACCAATTTCCACCTCAAGGTTACTACCAATTTCCACCTCAAGGTTACTACCCACCACAAGGCTTCCCGAACTACCCTCCTCCTCAGCCTATGCCTTACTTCCCCAACCCTTGGTTGTTCCAGCAATCTCAATCTCAATCGAAGAGAGACCAAGACTTCGAAGAAGGTCTGAACCGCTTACGCAAAGAGTATGCCACAGCCCCTATGGAAGACGACAGGCTTTCAGTCTCTTCCCTCAAATCGACCGATTCGACTCGTACCACAGATTCGGTTCGTGACCGTGAAGACTACCTCAAGCAGTCTGAGAGACTCTTCATCCTACAACCATTTACAGTTGGAGCTCTCAAGAACATGCGCAATTACGAAGGTCAGACACCAGCTGGAGACCGCAAAACAGACGTACTCGCAAGAGCCGTCCAGCTCGTCAAGACAAAGACTGAGATAGTCGACTTCATTCTTGCAGCTTGCCCATACAAGTAAAAAAATAAACAATTACGAGTTAAACTTTTTATTCTTTCTTTTCTGAGTTGTTTAGAGCTGGTTTCTCTTGTAGGAACCTTTCGTACTCTTCCACGGTCATGTAATTGCGAATTTGGTACGCAATTCCAGGTTCGTTGTTTTTGAACCTTACGTATGTAACGCTTCCATCCTCCTCAGGGAAGTAAGCTGCTAACATCTGACCAAGTTTTCTCGGTGACTCGGAGCTCATAAAAATGTCACTTTTTAAACGTTAAGTTTTTAGTCTTATTTTACCCTTTGTTTACCCTTTGTTTGTCAATGTAGTATTGGAGTGCAATTTCTCCAAATTCTCTATGTCGGAGTTCTTCAGCATTTTCCAAGGTGTGCCTGGAGAACTCAAAGAAGTTGTCAAGAAGATACTGCCATGCTGCTCTTCTGAGTTCGTCGGTATTTTGGAAGTGTTGCACCTTCGAGTCTTCGGACATGAAAAAAATGACACTTTTTCTATTAAACCGTTTTGGCATTTCTCATGAGTGAGTATAGTTCTGCCGAACCATTGGAAGAGAAGAAGTACCCTTGCTGGCAAAAGACAAAAATAGTTGCCTTAGTTGTCATTGCAATTGTACTCGTAATTGAATTCATTGTACTTCTCTTCACGTACATAAAACTCAGCAATGGTATTTGCTTTAAGAAGCTACCATCTTACTAAGACTAAACACTTACATTTTTCAAGCTTGACTTTTTACAATTTGAATTTTGTTGCTGAATTCAGCAAAAATATAATTTATGTTAGAATGTTAGATCTAACATGTTTTCTAACACGTTTTCTAACATGGTCTAAAACTCTTGAATTTTCATGAAATTTACACCAAAAATATAATTTATGTTAGAATGTTAGATCTAACATGTTTTCTAACACGTTTTCTAACATGGTCTAAAACTCTTGAATTTTCATGAATTTTCCCGAAATAAAAAATAAAATTAGTTTTATTTTTTATTTTATTTATTTTTTTTATTTTGTATAAAAGACATGATTTCAACAATCGGCACAACAACAGTTCAAACAACTACAGCACCAAACTCGTTAGTTATGAATCCAACATCTATGTTAGTAGAGATGAAAAACTTCATTCCTTCTTCATATACTTTCGAAACAAAAATCCAGAAGATAAAGCAGGAATTGTTAACAAGTAATTTAGACTGTACCGCACAGAATGAAACAAATGAACAGTATCTTTATGAAATGCAGGACATTATTGACCATTTACCCAAATTGCCTGAAATCCAACAACAAAAACTAACCATTCCCGAATTTGACGAAATAGAAGTCAAAGCAACTGACTCAGTAGAAATAAAGAAGTTCATACGAAAGGTAAATTATGAATTCCTTGGTTTTTCATTGCAACCATAAGGTTATGGACAAAGATTGCGACATGGTATAATAAGAACATCTCTGACCTTTACAAATCCGAAGAATTTAAGACCTACGACAACTTTGTTTCGTTAGTTGCAAAATGTGTTTGGGAAATAAGAGATAAAGATAGTAGGGGTAAGGTATGGAACGAACAAATAAAACCCGCTATGTTCGAGATGAAGAAAACCATTGACGCCTTGGTTGTTTTAGCAGGTAAGGTTTCAGAATATAACGCAAAAATGAACCCGCAATGTTTCAAAATGTAAAGCAGCAATGAGGAAATATAACTACTCCGTCAAAGAGATAGAAAGAATGAGAAACGACTATGCAGACTTAAAGAAAGAAGCAGAAAAGCCAGCAGAAAATAAAATGGACATGTTAGAATTTCTGAACAAAAACTATCCAACTGCTGACGATTTCCTTCTATCTGACGTCAAGAAGAAGTATAAAGAAACTTTCGGTATCGTTAAAACATTCGATGTACTAAAAGAAGAAATAGAAGCTACGAAATTGTTTAGAGTCATGAACCATCGCAACATATACCATGTAAAACGCTTGTAAATAGTTATGTTAGAAAACATGTTAGAAAACATGTTAGATCTAACATTCTAACATAAACATTATTTTTATTGAATTCCGTATGAAATTTCATGAGTTTTGTATGTTTTAGACCATGTTAGAAAACATGTTAGAAAACATGTTAGATCTAACATTCTAACATAAACATTATTTTTATTGAATTCAGCAACAAAAATCATGAATTTCCTTAAGATAGAAAAAATAAAGTTAGTTTTTTATAAAATATTTTTTTTATTTTGAGCGAAGCACAGCGAGACATACTTTTTTCTGAAAACAGTGAAGAACAGCGAGTAAGTAAAAAAACGTAGTCGCCAAAACTCTATGAAAACAGTGAAATTTCTCTAGACAGACTTTTTTCGGTCTTGCATAAAACTCATGAAAACAGTGAAGAACAGCGAGTAGTGAAAAAACCCTGGTCGCCAAAACTCTTTATTTTTCAAGCTTGACTTTTTACAATTTGAACTTTGTTTGCGTAGATATGAATTCTGAAAGAAGTATGAGGGTCTTGTTGACTTTGTACTTCTCCCATAGTTCATGTTGTCAAACTTACCTGCCATGGACTCTTTCATAAGTTCCATGAAATCGTCTTCGGACAATCCAGGGAAAAGTAATATATCAGTAAGTATTCTTTTAACATCCTTACTTAAACTCTTTGCTGTCTGTACACATATTACGACTGAGATGTTAAAGTGTCTGAGCTTCTTAAGAATTCGACACATGTCTTGTTCTCTGTTCTTTAACAAAGGATGAGAAGCAAAGTCATCTAAGTAAGAAGACATCTATGAGGGTATGTCTTCCAATCGTAAGATTGCAATTTCTTCGAAATGTATTCTATCTCTTTCTGTTTGTTTCTGAAGTGTTTCTTCTCTAATATTCTCTGCATTTCCTCATTTGGGTCTTTAAACTTAGAATTTATATACTCATTTATAGCATTATACTTCAAAACTCTTCTTTGGTACTCCTTTATCCAATCTAACAACTCAGTATCCTTTATACATACTAACTTAGACTTCTTTATAATATCTTTGAACGAATTGACCAGAAGTACTACAAATGACAACTAACTCATAGAATGGGTTCTTCTCATCTAGTTCTTGTTGTTGTGCAGCCATTTTAAGATAAGTGAAAGTCTTACCCGACCCAGGTGGTGCAATTAGACCTGTTATACCATTCTGAGCAAATAAGAACTTGTCATGTATAGGTTTTATCTGAGCATTTTCTAACTTCCTCTTGTTCTTCTTCAAAACATTCTCAAATTTCTTGTCAATGTCAGCAAACTTTTTTTCTAACATATTTTTAGAAAAATTAAAATTTTTATCTTTTAGAAAATGTCTAGTGATTTCGCTATCTATATTCGAGACAAGCTTTTTGACTCTAAAACTTCTGTCGACCATAAAATCTTACATAGTGTAAACAAGAAAGGTGAATTTTTCTAAAGTTCTGTTTCTGGAATATGACAAGAACCATAAAACATTAGGCAGAGAAGTCTTTAAGTTTGTCAATGACAGACTTGTTGACAGAGATGACGCCGATTGGAAAGATGAAGTCCAACAAAAGTTCTTAGAATGCAAAGAAGACACATGCGCTGTTCTTGAAGATGAAATAGAAAACAGAATAATGAGCTATTAAAGGACAAAGAACTTTTACATAAATATGGTTGCGCCAAATTTGACATAACTCCACCAGAGAAGAAGAAGAAGGAGAAAAGAAAGAAAAGAAAGTAGAAGAAAAGAAAGTAGAAGAAGAGAAGAAAGAACCTGAACAGTTCCAGAGAAAAAGAAATTTGACATGTAAAAAATAAAATTTTATTTTTAGAACATTTCTGGGTCAATGTCAATGTTCTCTTCCTCTTTAGGAGCAAACACTGGCTTAGACTCTAAAATCTTTTTACCCAATTACCTGAACTTCAACTATCTTAGACTCATAATATTCATAGTCGTCTGCTTTCTTTGGTTCATAAAGGTATAACAAGTTTGTATGCTTTTACCTTCTTCGAGTTTTGAGAACTTTCTGTCAAAATTTTCTTTGACTGTCAACATACCGTCAATGTATAAGTCTTCAAAAGTTGCACCATTTTTTCTAACAACAGCAAACTTAACTGTGCAATGTTCCAAATTTTGTCAAATGTAGACTTTTCAAAATTGTAGAAGTAAACATTCAAATATGCGAATGGGCTAACTTATCTTTGACTCTGTCATGTACTTATTTACTGAGATGAATTTCGTCATCTTTTCTATCGGATAAAAAAATATTTTTTTTTAAATTACTCAGAAAAATTTTTCTTTGTATATACACCATTCTGAACATCTAAAAGATTTTTGACATTTGCCAAGAATGTACGTTTTAGAAGCTGCCATATAACCATACTCTTGACAATATTGTTTATATTCATCATATAAAGACCTTTCATCTAATGACACAAAGTTAGTCTCATCTATAAACAGTTCATATACACTCTTGTTTGCTTCTAACAATGTTTGTCTTTCTTCGGTATGTGGAATTTGTCTTGGATTGAACTTAGAAATATCTAATGTCATAAAGTATGAGAACAAGTGTTGTAAAAGTCAGATGTCAAAGTTTCTGCTAAGTCGTCAAAATTTCTGTATCTTGCATATGAGAATCTGACGTTCTGACAACTACATATCTTCTGTCAGAACTTTCTAACTTCATCGGAAACGTATTGTTTGAAACCATAATGAAGTTTGCAACATTTTCACAAACTCTTGGTCTTATACTTTCTTTCAACAATCCAACTTTGTCTGTTATAAGACTCTTCAAAGCATCTGAGTTCAAAACTTTTGTATGTATCTATACTTTGAAGTTCATTGCAAACTATAAGTTTCATATTCTCAATTGAAGAGTTAAATTTACCGCAGATGTTTCTAAGTTTGTCATATTCGGATTCGAATAGCCTCTAACAGTTTGCACAAAATATCTGTAAAGAAAGTATTCTTACCTGTTCCTTGTTTTCCAATTATGATGAGAGCAGTTTTCATTTTTAGCACTTGGATGTTGTAAGATGTTTGCA